GACCAGACGCTGTGACATCTGCCTAAAGATCCTGTGTTATGTGGACAGCACAGTGGCTAAATGGTTAGCAGTTCCGCCTGGCAGTACTCGGGTCATTGGTTCGAATCCCAGCCATGGCACCACCTGTCTGGCGTTTGCATGTTCTCCCTGTGTCTGCGTGGGTTTCCTCCGGGTACTCCGGTTTCCTCCCACACTCCAAAGACATGCTGGTAGGTTAATTGGATCCTGTCTAAATTGGCCCTAATATGTGTATGAATGTAAGTTAGGGACCTTAGATTGTACACCCCTTGAGGGTTAGGGACTGATGTGAATGTACAATATATATGTGTAAAGCGCTGCATAAATTGACAGCGCTATATAAGTACCTGAAATAAATAAATGTGGACCTGGCTGAATCCGGGACAGATGACCTGAGCATACCTGATGAGACAGGATAATATCTCAAATGTGTGTTTATAGTGCACTTCTGGTGAGTGCGCATTTTGCTTATCTAATCACGGCATCTGGCACCCTTGGATTTATTACCCGCACACGGATATTGTGATCTTGAAAGGATCCTCACGTCTCTTTTTGGGACATTTATCACCATCTATTATCACCTGATGGTGATACATTTCATGGAGCATAAGATTTCTCTATATATTTTATATTTTTATGCATATGTTCTTTTAGGCTATCTTGGATGATTAAATATGTACTGATCACTTTGCACTTTTATATGCATATGTTTTAGCGCTGCACCTTTTCTATCAAGATATGCCCCTGCATCTGTTGTGTCACACAAAAAAATGTCCCTGAATCAGTGGTGTCACTGGAAGGAAAAATGTCCCTAAGTTGGTGTTGTGATTGGAAGAAAAAATGACCCGTTTTGTCCGTGTCAGTCTGACTTGGTGTTGGGTGGTATAAAGGAAGGAGGGGAGCTGGGAAGGGGGGGGCTCTGTGGGGTGCATTTAACTAAGGGGTCCTGTGTGACTCTGGGGGAGGCCGGGTGGCTATGTTAGGGAGAGGGGAACTCTGGGGCTAACTTGCTCCCTTTACCCTCTTGTCACTTTTATTTTAGACCTCCTCAGTGTGGTCACCAAAAGTGAAGACTGCTCTTTCTTTTTCATGACAAAGGGGAGAGAGGGAGAAGGGCCCACCCTGCCTTCTCCCTCCCACCTACATTAGACTGCTGTTGGAGAAAGTAGAGAGTGTAATCCTCCCTAAAGCAGGTGCTATGCACTCTTTTCTTCATGACAGGAGTGATGACAGTTATCTGATTGTAAGAGCTTACATTCTCAAAGAGTAATCCTCTCCTGCGTTTTTACACACCCGTTCCATCAGATTGGTGGTCATTTTGGCACTGAGCTTCTGTGTAGCCCAGTTGTATAAGGCCACCACCTGGTCTTCTCTGCAAGCTTTTCCAGACGTTTACCAGGTGGACATCCAATCTCCTGCTGGTGCAGCTTTTGGTTGCAAGGTTCTTGCAGTGGCTGTCCATGGTTGGGTCTTCTGACCCTTGTTGTTGGGCCTGTTGGCTTAGTTCTATTTGCCTCTTCGTTGCCCAATTAATTAGTTCATTGCTTGGGGCGTTCCATGGTAAATGAATATTCCGCCCGTGTTCTGTGCTGTATGATTAAGATCAAAGGAATTTTTACTTACCTGTAAATTCTATATAATAAAGTACATTACAGGATACAAAAAACCTAAACTCAACTTGTTACTCTGCATTGCTTGCTTTGAAACTGAGGACTCAGACTGGGGTACCCAAGTGGCGTGTCCTTTAAAGCTTTAAGCTTTACCAATGCCTACTGACCTGAAGGTACATGCCTATAACCCATGGTTTATAAACATTCTGCCTCTGTCCTGCACTGTACTCCAAGATATGGAATATACAGGTAAGTTAAAGTTCTTCTTTTTTTTATATAGAAAATTAGATATAGCTAACAAAATGAAGAATTCGGAGCAAATAAGTTACACCTGTGAAATGAACGGCTGAATTCTTCTGAATATTTTTAGGGCTTTCAGAATATTTGTTACAGTGATGGGTTGTTGTTTTTTTTTAACCCTGTGCAGGGACACTTTGGGAAAGTAAGCCTGTATTGCTATGATCCAAACAACGATGGGACAGGGGAGATGGTGGCTGTGAAATCGCTAAAGTCAGGCTGCAGTCAGCAGCTGGAAACCAGCTGGAAAGGAGAAATTAAGATTCTGAAGACCCTTTACCATGAAAACATTGTCAAGTACAAGGGATGCTGCAGTGAGCAAGGTATGTGCGCATTTCTGATCACAGGCATGTTACAGCTTTCTGTTGGCTTTCCTTAAAGGTGAATTCCAACCTTAGATTCAGGTGGCAGTTTACTACAATCATTTCACTGAATGTTCTATTCACCCAACCCACCTAAATAGCACTGCGCCTCAAATTCAGTTGCTTATGTTTATTAGAAGAAGATTTCCTTAGCAGAGGTGACATTGACACTGCAGCCTCTGTAGTATTTGTCTGTATAAAAAACAAAGGTAAGGTAAGCAATGAAGCAGTGGTCTCCAAACTTTGGCCCGAGGGCCGAATACGGACCTCCACTTGTCTTTATCTAGCCCTTAGGTAGCTGTTTCTCCCATTGACATTAACAATGGGGCAACATTTTTCCCACTGACACCAATGATGGGACACCATTCCTCCCACTAACAGCAATGATGGGGACACCATTCCTCCCACTAACAGCAATGATGGGGACACCATTCCTCCCACTAACAGCAATGATGGGGACACCATTCCTCCCACTAACAGCAATGATGGGACACCATTCCTCCCACTAACGGCAATGATGGGACACCATTCCTCCCACTAACGGCAATGATGGGACACCATTCCTCCCACTAACGGCAATGATGGGACACCATTCCTCCCACTAACGGCAATGATGGGACACCATTCCTCCCACTAACGGCAATGATGGGACACCATTCCTCCCACTAACGGCAATGATGGGACACCATTCCTCCCACTAACAGCAATGATGGGACACCATTCCTCCCACTAACGGCAATGATGGGACACCATTCCTCCCACTAACGGCAATGATGGGACACCATTCCTCCCACTAACGGCAATGATGGGACACCATTCCTCCCACTAACGGCAATGATGGGACACCATTCCTCCCACTAACGGCAATGATGGGACACCATTCCTCCCACTAACGGCAATGATGGGACACCATTCCTCCCACTAACGGCAATGATGGGACACCATTCCTCACACTAACGGCAATGATAGGGCACCATTCCTCCCACTAACAGCAATGATGGCACACTATTCTTCCTACTGACACCACTGATGGGGCACTATTCCTTCCACTGACATGACACAAATGATGGGGCACTATTCCTCTTATGGACACCAGTGATGGGACGCTATTTCTCTCATGTACACCAATGATGAGGCATGGTTACTGGCACCAGGATATGGACACCAGGACATGTTATGAGGCACTGTTCCTTCCACTGACACCACTGATGGAGCACTATTCCTCCCACTGATATCAGCAATGGGGCACTATTCCTCTCATGGACACCAATGATGGGACAATATTCATCTCACTGACACCAATGATGGGGCATTGTTACTGACACCAGGACATTTTCTACTCCCACTGGAACAGTCCAGTACCTCTAAAGTCTGAAAGGGTAATAAACTGGCCCTTTTTTTGGAAGGTTTAGAGATCCCTCCGGTAGACAAATGGAGTTTGTCAATTATAGTGGCAACTCAAGACAACCCTGTGAGATTATTAAAAATGGAGCTGAAAGATCCCTGCAGTGGAAGAGGTAGTTTATTAACGTGAAGCACCTTTTTTATAGGCCATCAGTTGAGACTGAACCAGCTGATATTAATTTGCACTGACAAGGGGCGGGATTGCTTTCTAATTACTGATAGATTTGTAGCCTTTTTGCACCTCCTTTCGTGCGTTCAATACTTTTTCCATTTTATAACATAACTACATTTCTGAACGTATTTGTTTTGGTTTCTTTGTATGTATGGATTGCATGGGCTGTTACCGACATGTTGTGAAAATGTCATGTCAATAGCACCTTTAGAAATATATTTACTGAGAAAAACGGTGATGAGTTCAATACTTCTTTTACCCGCTGTATATGTGGAAGCTGCAGTGCCAGTGGCAAGGCTTCTCTGTATACTGCGGTCCTAACTCTATATTTTTGAGGGTCCCCAAGCACATATAACAGTGAATAAATTAAAGGCAAGTTTTCCTGGAGGAAGTCCACCCCTCCTTAAAGACAGAGGGACACACGGACGCCCAGCAAGTGCTCAGTGGCAGCTGAAGGCATCCAATGTGTCCCCACACAAAAACGGAGAACCAGCTATACAAACAGATGGCAACTACCCTAATTTATGCGTGGACCAAATTTGTGGATGTTTTTGACCTAGTCAGTGAATGATACAACTATATGTGGGCATTGTAAAGTTTCAGTTTAATTTTCTAGGTGGGTGCAATACCTTACCAGATAAGTGTTTGTTTTTTTTTGGGGGGGGGGGGGTTCCAGGCATCCAGGTGATTGTGGCAGCATAAACCCTTTTTAATTCTGTAGTACTGAAATGATTGTGTCTTTGTTTGTAGGAGATAAGATTGTCCAGCTGATAATGGAGTATGTCCCTCTGGGGAGTCTGCGGGATTACCTACCCAAACACAACGTGAGCCTTGCTCAAATATTACTCTTTGCCCAGCAGATCTGTGAGGTAAGCTCTTGCTCTGTCATGTACTATGGACATTATGGGGTTTATTTACTAAAGCTGGAGAGTCCAAAATCAGACTCCCTTCTGCGTAGAAACCAATCCGCTTCCAGGTTTCATTGCCAAAGCTTCATTGAACAAGCTGAGGTTAGAAGCTGATTGGTTTCTATGCAGAAGGGAGTCTGATTTTGGACTCTCCAGCTTTAGTAAATAAACCCCTATGTGACACAGCCATTATGGTGATACATATTTCTTTTTTTCTGTGTCATAGGGGATGGCTTACCTCCACTCCCAGCATTACATACACCGTGATCTGGCTGCACGAAATGTTTTGGTGGAGAATGAGAATGTGGTAAAGATTGGGGACTTTGGACTGGCCAAAGCGGTACCTGAAGGCCATGAATATTACAGAGTAAGGGAGGACGGTGACAGCCCTGTGTTCTGGTAAGGATCTCCTCATTACCCAATGCAGAGTTCTTGCTTAGTTATATTGACAGTATTGAAATAGACAGAAGCATTGGGGGAGATGTACTGAAACTGGAGCGCTCAGAATCTGGTGCAGCTGTGCATGGTAGCCAATGAGCTTCCAACTTCCGCTTGTTCAATTAAGCTTTGACAATAAAACCTGGAAGCTGTTTCTGTGTAGAATTGCACCAGATTACGCTCCAGTTTCAGTAAATCCCCCCCATTGACTGCAATGCAGGAGGGATGTGATTGTGGATGTTCACTGTTGGAAGGTTATTCGTCAGTAATGTTAAAGACAACAAACCTCACACAACAGCCAGCCATGTTCTCAGTTCAGCCACACAAGCCTTCCTAGAAGAGGAGAATGTTGTACAAACATGACTTTGCTTTTTGGTACCTATAGAAAGGGCACTGGCAATATCTGAAGGAAAACGGTTCTAATTGGTTTAGAAAAACAATCTTGGTTGTCTAAACCTTCCCCTGAACAGACCTTGGCCAAAAGTAAAGACCAATAGACATTTGAGCAACCAGATCAGACAAGTGTTCTTGTTTGTAGATACAAATTTAAAGCTAAACTCCAGGCAAACCAGTAAATACACAGATGACACATATATAGAGGAGCTGTTTTAGGCCAAAAGATGTGTTATCTACAGAGAAAAAGTGTAAGCTGTAGGTAGCCTCCCTGGCGGTATTCCTGAGTGTAGCTCGGGGTAAAATTTCAGCTTCACAAGCGGTAACCCCGAGCTACACTCGGGAATACACTGCAGCGTTGCTCTGGGATCTCTTCTGCACTTACCTTGTCCTGCTCTCCCGCGATGTTCCTCCTGCAGTGTCCCCTGTAATGTCCTCCGGCAGATGCCGGCATCTGTCATCCGGGTTCCGTTCCCTGCGACGTTGGGATGGAACGGCGGGAAATTTATAAATGACAAAAAGTGACATTCACTAAATACACTAAAATCACATAGTAGAACATTACTGTATCAAACCATTTCACATACATTTTGTCCCGAGTGCTTTGTCCTGTGCCCTGCCTGCATTTTTACTGTTCTTTCTGCCTGGAAACTGAGAAATGTCCATGGCGTCCAAAAAGCGTCCCTTTACATCAAAAGCAGTTTTAGATCAGCTAGAGAGCAGCGATAGTAAATCCGAACCACTTGCAGAATTGAGTGATAATGATTCGTGGGGGAAATTCGTCATCAGACACTGAAAACGATTTTGCAACTTTGCTCAGTGATGTGCGAACTTGGCGCTATATTTCAAATTTCAGTGTTTTTGGTTTGATTACATTATTGAATTAAATTTATTATTTTTTATGATTATTTATTAAATTATAATTTATAAATTCGGGTTTCAAATTTTAACATACCCGGGATGTTTACTAGACTCTTGTTCGGACAGATTTCAGTGAGTTATTCCTAAAAATTACAGGTCTACAATAAAAAAAATACATATTTCCATGCAAAAAAATGTACCGATTTGAGCACAGAAATATGGACATAATCAGACTGCTAGGGAGGTTAACAAGGAAGCTCTGAGGTTGTTCAGTAGGCCATGCCAAAGACGTCGCTGCATTCATCTTGTTGTTGGTACTTTACATAGGACGCTGTGCCCTCTGTCTCTTGTCCTCCAGGTACGCCACTGAATGTCTTAAAGAATGTAAGTTCTTCTATGCCTCAGATGTCTGGTCTTTTGGGGTGACTCTGTATGAACTTCTGACTCGCTGTGACTCTTACCTTAGCCCCCCTGCCGTGAGTACATCACTTCACCTTTACTGGTTCTGCATTACCATCTCGATGCCATGTTGTTGGACCCACATTGATGCCTGCCTACATTTTCTCCTCTTCTATCCTCCTTCATTCTAGAAATTCATAGAGATGATTGGTGTCACTCAGGGACAGATGACAGTAGTTCGACTGATTGATCTGCTGGATCGAGGTCAAAGGTTGCCATGCCCAAGTGACTGCCCTATGGAGGTAAAACCAAAAATCCCAGCATCCCATCACACTATCATCCATTTGTTTTCTACTAGTCTACAGCATATGTGATGAATTGGGGGGTAGCTTCACGCTGCATTCGATGCTAAAGAATCTTGTGGAACACACTCTTCAAGAGTTTCCTATCAAGAGAAGCCAACACGGCAATTAGCATTCAGGCCACCTCTATGCACACACCCAGATGTGAAGTTTGTACGGAGCTGTTGACTACAGTGTACACTTTTAGACCAATATCTGCAGGTATTTTGTAGGAGAAAAAAGCTTCCTGAGATAAGCTGCAGTCCGAACAACCCCCATACTAAATGCATACTACATTTTGTATGTGGTTCTAAAAGTCTTAGGGTTTTTTATGTTAATTCATTCTCTGCATCAAAGATATAAAAAAAACCCAAAAAAACAAACCACCTGTGCCATAGCTTCCCCCAGCCCCGCTTTTTCTTACCTGAGCTGGACCTCACTCCAGCGTTATGCCTGAGAGCAGCGGCTCTCACTGCTCTCTCCTTCCTTACAGGGCAGATTGATAAGCGCAGCCATTGGTTTCTGCTGCTTTCAATCTTATTCTGTGATGTGGGAGGCAGGACCGAGCTGCACTGTCAGTGTATATAGATGCAGGCAGCGTGGCTTGGCATTGATCCCACAACAAGTGCCCCCATAGGAAGCTGCTTCCTATGGGGTACTTGCTGAAGAGGTGGAGCCAGGAGCCGCCAATAGGGGACCCCAGAAGAGGAAGAAAAAAAAAGGTTTACAATCACTTGAATTCAAATGAACTGCTTACCATCCACCCTATAGCAGATATACTGCTACAAGGAGGCACGGGTGCACAAAATCACGTGTATATATACATGTGAATTTGCATTACTGGTTAGGGGCCGCCATTCGCAGCCGCAGCTGTCAATCACCAGGTCCCAGTCGGTGATTACTCGTCAGTGCTTGGTGATTGCCAAGGATCTCCTCCGATAGAGGGGAGAAGTGTATGTAAACAAAACAGTCCTCCTCTCTCGTCTGTTCGTGCACACTGCTTTGAAAGGCTGTGCACAACACAGCCATGCAAAGCTGTGTGCTTACAGTGCAGCACACGAAAACAGCCCCATAGTAAAACACACCCAGCACACAGTTAACCCTTTGATCGCCTCAGATGGTAACCTGCCCAGTGTCATTAGTACAGTGTCGGTGCTTTTTATTGATTTTACTGATCACTGTATTGGTGTAACTGGGAATGTCAGTGACACCAAGTCAGTTCCCCCCAGTGTCAGAATGCCCGCCGCAGTCCTGCAAATGTTGCTGATCGCCGCCATTACTAGTAAAAATTAAAAAAAACTCACTATATCTACCACCGCTATAACTTTCACGTAAACCAATTAATTTAAATGTATTGGGATTTTTTTAGCAGACGTCGCAGAATACATTTTGGCCTAAATTTATGACGAAATATGATTTTTACATTTTATTTACTGCACGTTTAATAGCAGAAAGTCAAAAATATTAAAAAAAAATTTTTGTAAAAAAAACTATAACACAAATAATAGAAAACACAGGCGATCAAATGCCACCAAAAGAAAGCTCAATTTGTGGGGGGAAAAAAAAGGACGTAAATTTAATTTGGGCGCAGCGTTGCATGACCGTGCAATTGTCAGTTAAATTAATGCAGTACTGTAACGCAAAAAATGGCCTAGTCAGGAAGGGGGATAAATCCTCTGGAGGGCAAGTGGTTAATAGAAAAATTAGACCTATATGGTAACGCTCGCACCATTTACAGCAAAGTGACAGTGTCTGTGTAAACACCAACCCAACGATTCTATGCTCACCCCTTCAGTGCTCCCCCAACTTTTCCTCTTTTGCCACAACCTCCAATCTCCCCAGTGTTAGCTGGTGTCGGAGCTCAGGAATTGGTGAACACGTGGCCGTACCCTCCATATCTAAGCCCAATTCTAACTAGCTCTACATTTCACAGTAAATTGCTTCAAGAGCTAGAACAGTGTTCCCATGCTCAGAATGTTAGTGTATTTATAATGATTAATCATTTAGATTTTAATCCTGTTTTCTTTTGTCTCAACAGATTTACAAACTGATGAAGGACTGCTGGGAGACAGAAGCCAATTTCCGGCCCTCTTTTCCTAATCTTATCCCCATTCTGAAATCTTTCCATGCCACATACAGCACACCCGCCCCATCTGTGTTCAGTGTGTGCTGATGAAATGGTGCGTATCCCAGGGAATGTGACCTATAGGCTTTACTATACCAGGGTGATTTAAAAAGCACAAATTATATTGACGGTGGTGCTAAGCCTTCCTTGGGCGGAAGGAAAGAAAATCGCTCTATTCCCCCATCCATACAGTCAGTACTGATGGGAGAATCTCTCCTGCAGTGATATTGTGTTCTGCCAGTGGGGAGCCTTCCCTGCCGGCAGAACACAATGATTAGTGTTGCCAGCTAAAGCCGTTGGCACTAGGTGTTGTAGGAAAAACTCCACAGGCTGGCTGTACACAAGTCGATTGACTTGTGTACAACCAGGGTGCCCATATGTGGATCGAAATTCACCTGGTCCCTGCTGAACCGGCTGAATTTCGATCCATGAATGGCAGGTTTAAGTCCACCTTTCTGACTATGTTTCAGGTTAGTCTTGTTTAGGATTTAACCACTTGCCGTCCAGCCGCTGTATATAAACGGCCGGAAGGTGGCAGTCCATAAATGGCGCCCCCCATTCTGGACTGTGCGCGCTCCCTGGGAGCGTGCAGCACCGCGATCTGGTGCCCGCTGTGTCCTCCGGACACAGTGGAACACCGATCGTCGTACGGGACCTCTGTGTTAGGTCCTGATCACATGATCACTGATTGGCCAATCAGTGATCACATGAAGAGTAGTAAGCAAGATGTCACTTCTGACATCATTGCTTACTACGTATGAAATCTGTGAATGATCACAGAGGTCACATGGCACAAGGCTATTCACAACAGCCTTGTACCATGTGACAAGCTGTGACCAATCACAG